GCAGAAATGACGCCAGCTCTCAAGTTGCGGCTCATTCGACGAGACCCGGCCACACATTTAAATTCGATGAGGCCGAAATTCTCGCAAGAGGTGACAACCGAGTGAGCCGGGAGCTACTGGAATCATGTTTTCCTGGCCCCCAGTTCATCAACAAGTGCAACGATCTTCCCATTCAATACAGCGTGCTGAGACTTCGTCTAGGCGGAGTAATTGGCCACGCGGGGAGCGCACTGGTGAACACTCTTCCCAACACCCGGGTCAACGCGTCAGATGGTCGAGCAATCATCACGCCAACATCCTACGCACGTGATGAAATTGCAGTAATTATCGACTCGAATGTCGGCCATCAAGCAATGATCACACCAAGTGTGACAATCCCGGATGAAAGGGGAAGCCGGGAACGTTCATAGGTATGCGGTAGCATGGATGCTGCATCCTATAAATACCGCAGCCCCTTGTGCAACAACCACCCGTTTCTGCTCTTTTGTCTCTGATGATGGATTCGAGTAGGAATCCGAAACGTCAGGCTAATAATCTCTTGTCCCGGCGATCGTGCCTCCTTCTTCAAGTTGCTGCTCTGTTAGCTACTTAGGCTGGAGGCTGTTGAACAAATTTTAGCATTCTGCGTCTGTTGGCCTCAGCTTAGTCAATTTCCGTTCTAAAACTTCAATTTCTTGAGGCGCACAGAACTGTGCAAAAGCAAAGGATGTTCTTGCATTGCATAAATACTCATAACCGTTTGCAGCTAGGAGCTTTTTAAAGTTTCCGTTAACAAGGGTACCTCAGTCTCTAAATATTTAACGGAGTATTTTGACTGTTGCTGTTAAAAATTCCACTCTGTGCCTAAAGCAGCAATTCAGTTTCAAGAATCTACCCGTCTTTTATTGGTTGTTAACCTAAATACGAAAAAGCAATTCAAACATGCACTAGATAAGCCATGTCATAAAAAGTCTACCGAAATTCTGAAATGCGTTTACACCTCGAAAATATTACCTAATTCGAGGTTTCATATTAATTATCGTGTCACATAAGGCCGAAATATTCCGGTCACGTCAGAATGTTGGCTTTTAAGAGGGCTTTTATCGGTCGCCTGCCCAAAATATATTCCATGACAATGGCTGCTGAGGTAGTATGGAATTTAGATCGATCTTCGATGCCGATAGAAATTCAAATATTTATTACCAGGGCAATTACAGATTGATCACATGATGCAAGTACATTAGGCGAACGCAAAGACAATTGGCAACCACGGCCCCTAAGCATTTGCCTAATTAGCTTTTCAAACAGGAAAACAAAACCCCCGTTCGTCTAGAACGAAACACCTGTTAAATAGCGTTCATGTTGTCGAACCTAAAGCATCTTTTTGAGTACTTGTACGAGCGCATACAAATAGAACCTTGCATTATTTGGAAGCAGCTTACATACGGAGAGAGAAACCAGACCTATGCAAGCAGCTAGATCACGTGATCAATCTGCAATTACCCTGGTAATCTAACTCCACTAGTTTCCCCTGACTGTGATTTGTTGTTAACATGTAAAATATTTATCGTAGAAACTACGTACAAAATAACCTTCCTCTCGTATATTTGAAAGCAGGTCATGTCTAATTCGAATTTTATACTTGAGGAAATTATTATCATCCGGACGTAGACATTAATTTTGAGATTTTTAGGACCGTAAAATGTTCAATCATAAATGATTGCACCAGCATATTTATTAATGATATTTATGAAGTGTACCACTTAACCCATACCCATTTTACAATTTCAGCATTTTTACATGACTTCTTTTTAATAACCAATGGAACTGTGTGCTTTTCCTTGCACGAACAGTATACAGCTTGTAGTTTTGTAACCCGGAGTGGAAGTGTAAATACAAGCGGGATTTAGAAATGTTTAGGAATCTAAAACGTTATTTAAGACCGAAAATCATTCCTTCTTTCTGCACGTAACTGAATAAGACGTAATTTGCTACCAAAAGAATAAAATAAAGATCACGCTCCTGCCCTTTTTCTGTTAAACATACCTAAACATATACGGACATCGATTATCTAGGGGAAATGAAAGCTTTTAAGTAGTCATTTATGCTGACTTCGATTATGCTGAAAATTTCATTAAAAACCCTTTCAAAAGTCGGCATCAGGGCGTGACTGGAATATCTTGCCATTATGTGACAGGACAATTGACATGGTAACCTTACTTTCAATACCAATTTTTTGAACTGAAAACAAATATCGAACTTCCAGTCAACAATTCATGAGGCAGCATATCTGTCTTATGAATGAAGTAATTTAACTATCGTCGAACAAATGCAAAGTGGAACTCGCTATTCGCTAGCTTACAGCGACGCCACTGTCTCCGTGCTCAACAAAATGCCCACTTGCTTTGGTGCTTGTTTTTAATGAAACAGACGTGAGTTTAGTCTACCCTGATTGTTAAGTCAATAAAAAATTGAGGCATCCATAGCTTTGCGAAAGATCAGTGGTAAAGAAAACCTAGCATTTTATACTACCAGACTGCATTTCGCCAGTCGCATATCACAAGCAAACCATGGTGCTATAAAGTACTGATTCTCAGACTTAGCTGAGACAGCTCTAGGAAGTTAATTGGCAAACTTCTAAGGCACGACTATTAGTACTTAGGGGTATTTTCAGCGTCAGGTTGTCAGCTAACAAGTTATGACCGATCACATGAAATTTGAACCGAAATTCGGAAGTGCTTTCTCGACGAGAAAGGATTACTTACCCGGGGGTGTAAAACTGATTATAATGCTGCATAATCCTGCAGTATATTGGGCTAGCCGGGATTTCGGAATTTCGAACACATGTTTCCGACCTGCCACGAAAACCACACTCAGTAAAAATGACTACTTAAGTGGCATGCATGCTTCACACTGTTTTTCGGTGGTGTAGAATATATTTTATAGAAAAAGGAGGCTGAAAATATGCTTTCTCTAGCTCAGTTGTTAGAAAATTACGTTTTCTTTACATTGGATGCCCTAAGAATGTGTCTATTTAGGTCCTGAAAATTTTCTACTTATGGGATTTTAAAGACCGTTCCATTTCCATTCCTACTGCATCCTACCTGTTCGTTTACCACTGCTCGTCATGAAATGTTCAACATAGACCGCATCCATTGCAAAATTTTTTAAACTCTTTATTGTATCTTCTTAAATACGTAGAGCACTTAATGATTTGCCTTACGCGGAAGGCATGCACTTTGTATCCTGAAATCGCTTAATCCAAACGCAAGGGCTGAAGATTTTTCGAGAATCGAGAAACTTTCGCTAAACCTAAAGATACACTTTCTTAGGGCATACAATGTACAAAAACGCGATGTTTTGCCAAATGGGCAAAAGAATGCATATCTGTGCGCCTTTGTTCTACTAAATATATTTAAATTTATAAGACCACCGAAAATCAATGTGAAACATGCATGCCAGTTAAGTAGTCATTTTTATCCAGGGTGGTTTCTGCAGGATGTTGAGCAGAAATTCATTCAAAAGGTGAGATCCTAGCAAACTCAAAATACTGTAAGATTATCCGCATAATCATAAGTTTTACAATGCCGTGTAAGTAATCCTTCCTTATCCAAAAGGAATTTCAGAATTTCGGCCAACACTTCCTAAGGTCGGACGCCCACAGTATAAGTGAGCAAAGAAAGCGTTCTAGCAGAGGTTTCTTAACCTCACTGTCTTTTCCAAATCCCATGCGCCCACGAATTCTAAAATTAAAGTCGCATGGGAATGAGACTGTGTACGCTATGTCTGAAGTTCTATGATAATACCATCTGACGCGTGCCACATATGTCTGCGGTAGAAACCTACGCAGACTCTGCACCGAACAAGTACGCCCAAAGAGGGGCATTGTAGTCACAGGACTGGTCGTCCTACCAGATGCACAACATGCGTGTGGACGAAGTGGACATATAAAACTACATCAGTGCAGGACAGTTCGACCGTCACGAACGACGGCGTCCGTCGGATACCCGACAAAGTGCGCGCAACACCGATGACCTAAGCCTGAATTAGTTTTATTGAGGCATACGTACGCAGAAACTGCCACTCTCTTCTCCTAACTCACCTGGCTTCAATGGCAAAACATTCTAAAGAGGGCTTAAACGAGATTTGGTCGCAGTGGCTGACAATACTCAACAGTTCTGTGTCGCAGACGACACGGTCCTTAATGCATGCACCGCATTCTCGCAATTAGGATCACCTAAATAAGGGCCTACTACTGCCTCAAACTCCGTACTGGGAAAAAGCGACATATTCCACTTCCTGAAAGTCTTCCAGGCCACAATCCTAAACACGTGGTAATTGAAGACGAATACGCGATAACAGGGTTGATAAATCTATTTGCCTGACGTTTCGGATTCTCACGTGAGCTAATCATCAGAGGCATTCGCAGATGTTGTGTTCGAGTGGGAATCCAAAAAGTCAGGCCAGTAGATTTTTTGTTACACTGATCGCTTCCTCGTCTTCTGAACTGCTTCCTGGAACTCGCCTGTTCGCTTCTATCAACGTCATGATCGATTCACAACGCCGATGAGGAGTGCTCTGTGTGTGCTGACTGTCGACATCACTCTCTTCTGCCTCTGCCATGCACCAGTCGGTCTTCGAGCGAGCCAACCAACTGACGGTGGAGTTGGAGGCAGTGATTAGCATGGTGTGAAAGCCAACGCCTAGACAGGCCGTCATACCCTCTTCAGAAACAGCAGTATTTATGGACCCGCGCGAATACTGCGCTGCCTGATTAACGCTTGTTATGTGTAGATCTAACCTGAAGTTCGGTCCAGCGCATCTGCAGCGAAGCCTGTTATGGAGGCAAAACGCATACACTCCTCCACACAGACCCCTTCACTCTTATTCTTATTAGAATATAATAAGGACACGATTTCGTGCGTGGTCCATGCCGTCCTTTTAAATAAACCTTACCCTAGATTCTCCAGAATTTTCCATGATCCAGCAAGTCTTTTCGATTTCCCACGGGTATCGCATTTATGACACCTGGAAAATTTTGTCGGCTTCTAATCTCGAGCATCATCCTTCTCCTTCTCCTCAAAAGGTGCGTCTTATGCCTCATATGGTATTTTGTGGGGTGTAGGGTTGTCAGCCGTGGGTCCACTTAATGGTCTTTGTGGTCGCTCACTTGCTTGCAGGTGAGACTGCGCTTAGCGTCCACTTACTGGCACTCAACTCTTACCTGTGGCTCTACGTAGCTGTACTCTGCTTGCGTCGGCACCGTCGTGACGTGGTTCGTCTCTGACGCCGCTGGACAGCCGATGGCGGGATGGATCTCCACATCGACATCGCCTTGACGCGCCCACCTACGCCGTCGGAGACCGCGGCTTACGACGAATTCGAGTCGCTCTCCACTACAACGCGAAGTCGTGGTCCCATAGTGGTGTTCGGCCGTGCCACAACGGCACATGGCAGCCCTATTCAGGGATGGCACTTCCAGCCCCCACGAGGGGAAGGGCCTAGAATAAGTGGCCTAAACATTGCTGGGTACCACGCCGTCTCCAGTCTTGCCAGGGCCGCAGACGTCTAATCATGGTCGAAACAATCAAAATCGAAACACCAACAATACCAATACCAACACCATCAATTCTCATTCTGTTCATCCTACTCTCTTCTCTCTGCCTATACTTCTCCTTCGTCACCGTCTTCTCCATCTCCTTCCCGTCGCCCCACTCGTTGTCACCAGACTGGTAGGGTGAGCCCGCTCACTGTGGCAGCCTGGAATGTTCGTTCCCTTTTAGACAATCCGAGGAGCAACCGACCGGAACGGAGGACGGCGCTAGTGGCACGAGAACTGGCGCGCTAAAAGGTGGACATCGCCGCACTCATAGAGACCCAATTCTCCGAACAAGGCCAACTGGAGGAGGTGGGTGCCGGCTACACCTTCTTCTGGAGCGGTCGACCCAGGGCAGAGCGACGGACGCGGGTGTCGCCTTCACCATTCGGAACGACATCGTGGGACGACTGCCCTGTTTGCCGCAGGGCATCAACGATCGCCTGATGAGCCTCCGCCTGCCTCTCTGGGGAGGCAAATTCGCCACCATCATCAGTGCCTACGCTCCGACGATGACCAACATCGACGCCGTCAGAGACAAATTTTACGAGGACCTGAACGCACTCTTGGCGACTGTGTCGAAGGCGGACAAGTTGATTGCCCTTGGTGACTTCAACGCCCGCGTCGGCACAGACCATACTGCCCGGAGAGGAGTGCTGGGTCCCCACGGTCTCCGCGGCTCAAACGACAATGGTCTGCTGCTTCTCCGCACCTGCGCAGAACACCGCCTCATCCTGACGAACACCTTCTTCTGTCTGCCGGAGCGAGAGAAGGCCACCTGGAGGCATCCTCGGTCGCGCCAGTGGCACCTGCTGGACTATGTCCTCGTCCGGAGGCGAGATCAGCGGGACGTGCTGGTGTCAAAGGCGATCGCGGGCGCTGACGGGTGGACCGAACATCGCCTCGTCATCTCGAAGATGCGTATTCGCCTAGAGCCTGGCATGAGACCACAAGGTAAGCTGAATGTTGCCTTGTTGCCTTTGCCCGCTCACCATCTTCATTTCAGCAATGAGCTAGCTCAAAGGCTAGACAACCTTCCTATCGCTGCCGACGCCGCCGCTGCCGAGATCGCCTCCGTTGAAAACCGCTGGTGTCAACTGCCAGATACATTCCAGTCGACGGCGCTCGCCATCCTCGGTCGCGCTTCCCGCCAACACCAGGACTGGTTCGACGACAACGACGCCGTCATCAGAAATCTGCTTGCTGAGAAGAACCGCCTACACAACGCCTACGTAGATCACCCCACTGATGCCACCAAAGCTGCCTTCTACCGCAGTCGCCGCCAACTTCAGCAACGACTGCGCGAGACGCAGGACGCCTGGACTGCTCGCAAAGCTGAGGAGATCCAAGGATACGCGGACCACAACGAATGGAAGAACGTCTTTTCTGCGATCAAAGCTGTCTACGGTCCGCCGACGAAGGGCACTGCTCCTCTCCTCAGCGACGACGGCAACACTATCCTGACTGAGAAGACGCAAAACCTACATCGATGGGCCGAGCATTTCCGAGGCGTCCTTAACCGCCCCTCCGTCATCTCTGACGCCGCCATCGAGCGTTTGCCGCAAGTGGAGACCAACGTGGACCTCGACCTCCTGCCATCTCTCCAGGAGACCATCAGGGCCGTGCAGCAGCTCTCCAGCGGGAAAGCACCCGGATCGGACGCAATCCCTGCTCAGGTCTACAAGCACGTAGGTCCCCAACTGATGGATCACCTGACTGCGCTCTTCCAAGTGATGTGGTGTCAAGGGTCCCGCAAGATTTCAAAGACGCAACCATCGTGCATCTCTACAAGCGCAAAGGGAATCGCCAAGTCTGCGACAACCACCGCGGCATCTGCCTGCTAAACATCGTCAGAAAGATCTTCGCCCGCATCCTTCTCAACCGCCTCAATAACCGTCTGGAACATAGTCTTCTGCCGAAAAGCCAATGCGGCTTCCGTCGCGATCGTGGGAGCACCGATATGATCTTCGCCGCCGGTCAACTTCAGGAGAAGTGTCAAGAGATGCGGACTCACCTGTACTCTACCTTCGTGGACCTGACGAAAGCCTTCGACACGGTGAATCGTGAAGGACTGTGGAAGATCATGCAGAAATTCGGCTGTCCGGAGCTATTCACTCGAATGGTGCGTCAGCTGCACGACGGTATGATGGCGCGAGTCACGGACAACGGAGCTGTCTCAGAGGCATTCGCAGTGACCAATGGAGTGAAGCAGGGCTGCGTACTGGCGCCTACCCTCTTTAGTCTTATGTTCTCTGCCATGCTGATAGACGCCTACCGCGACGAACGCCCCGGGATCCGCATTGCCTACAGGACAGACGGTCACCTCCTGAATCAACGGCGGATGCACTCCCAATCGCGCGTATCCACAACCACAGTTCACGAACTCCTCTTCGCCGACGACTGCGCCCTAAACACCGCCTCGGAAGAGGACATGCAACGCAGCATGGACCTGTTCTCCGCCGCCTGCGCGAACTGCGGTCTGGTCATTTACACGCAGAAGACGGTGGTGATGCACCAAACGCCACCCAACTCAGCCACAGCCCCCAACGCGCCGCCGCAAATCAGCGTGAACGTAACCAAACTGCAAGTGGTGGAGAACTTCTCGTACCTGGGCAGTACCCTCTCCCGCAACACTAAGATCGATGACGAAGTCGCCAACAGGATCTCGAAAGCCATTCAAGCCTTCGGTCGCCTCCAATGCACAGTGTGGAATCGCCACGGTCTTCAGATGAGCACGAATTTGAAGATGTACAAGGCCGTCATCCTGCCGACACTGCTGTATGGAGCGGAGACTTGGACGGTGTACACAAAGAAGGCACGCCGACTGAACCGCTTCCACCTGAGTTGTCTTTGTCACATCCTGAGGCTAAACTGGCAGGATCGAATCCCCGACACTGATGTGCGGGAACAAACGGAAATCCTCAGCATCAGCGCCATACTGAGACAAATACAGCTGCGCTGGAGCGGCCACCTGGTGCGCATGGACGACGAGCGACTACCCAAATGACTCTTCTACGGAGACGTCGCGACGGGTTCTCGCCGTCAAGGAGGCCAAATTCGCCGTTACAAGGATACCCTGATATCCTCCCTGAAGCGCCTGCAAACCAACACGGCCAACTGGGAAGAGCTCGCACTCGATCGACCGATCTGGAGGAGTACAGTGAAGACAGGCGCTGCGATCTACGAAGCCAATCGCATCGCTGCCGCCAAGGCGAAACGCGAAGCCAGCAAATCCGAACTTCGCCCAGTACGCAACTCCGCCACACAACCGCTTCCAACGTGTCCTCGATGTCAACGGACATTCCGGGCTCGAATCGGACTTGTTGGACACCTTCGGATCAACTGCACCTCTCGAACTGCACCAATCATCGTCCCCCCGCACGCCTCTTCCTCCCCTCCGCCGCCAACTAACTCTGACAATTCTTCTGAACCACCATTTCCATCCTCCTCCTCCACCTCCTACTCCTCCTCCTCCACTGCTCCACTGCTCCAACGACGGCCACTCAGGAGACTGTCACGCGCGCAACAACCGACACCACTACCACCACCTCCCCCGACTCCAGCGATCAGGATCAGGACTACACCAGGGCCTGGAGCACTAACCTATACCCACCAAACTCGACTCAACTGCCCACACTGCCCTCGCACCTTCAGGCATCGCATGGGCCTATTCGGCCACATGCGCATCCACGAGAGCGGCATTGACCGCAACTCCGAAAGACATCCAACACATTCATCATGCCCAGCCCCACCCTCGCTCCATCCGTCTGCGCCGCCACCACCACCATCACCATCACCGCCTCCCCCGTAGCTGACACTGATGCTGCCGAATTCTCATGCCCTCACTGCGACCGCACCTTCACCTCACGCATCGGCCTGGTCGGTGACTTGCGAATCCATCGCACAGAGACTGGCAAACCAGTGCCTGGAGAACCAACCTACACCCACCAAGCTCGTCTCAACTGCCCACACTGCCCTCGCACCGTCAGGCATCGAATGGGTCTCTTCGGCCATATGCGCATCCACGACGACCTGCGGTAGACAACCGCCGGCCACACCACACATTCGCTCACTCCCTACCTCCCACCATCACCATCTCCCCACCACACATCAACACTCCCACACTTCATGCACCCAACTGCCACCTACCACGCAAGTGGGAAGTGTGCATCTCGACTCGGTCCTCATGCGGCTTCGGCTGCAGGGGTGACTTGAGTCTGAGACTATCCCGACACGTCAAGCGTCGTGGATAGGAAGGTGGCTGATTGACGCCCGCTCTCGGTCCACACAGTTCATCGCGTTGTGTGTGTGTGTTGTGTGGAGTGGCGGACTGGTGGGAAGGGGACGGGCTGAAAGAGCACTCTCACGCAAGTGAGAGACACGCCGTTCAACCCCCGTTGTGGGAAATCGTGGTGTTGTGTGTATGGGGGGCCAGGTCGTGCCGTGGCGCGCGCAGGCATGGTCAGTCGACCATGACAGCCACCGCGCCCATTCCCCACTCCAGTCTGCTGACCGGCTCGGACAGCGGCTGGGGTGTGGGAGTGGGAAGGGAGAGTGAGGTCGACGACTCAGCGCACTTTCTCCTTACTATAACAATCTGACGCGCTTGAAGCTATCACGGTGCGCTAAAAGCCGTGGCTTGGAAGGTTGCCAACTGACGGGGTACCTTGGACCTCCTCCTTGACCGGAGGCGGTCTGAGAGTCAGGCTGCAATGGCTCCTTTTTAATGTGGCCTTTATGGCACTCTCATCATAGTGTGGGATCCGAGGCAGGCGTTGGCGGCACGCCTTGGTGCGGCTTCGGCCGTGCAAGCCTCCAAATCTCTGTTTTGTTTGTTGAAATCCCAGTCATTTGTTGTGCGGACCAGGGGGTGTGGTGGAACGCCAAGGTGAGTATCCGTCCGAGCCATCCACCTGCGGCCTCCCTCGTCTCCGGTCTTCTTGAGTCTGTCTTGAAATCGGGCTCGTGCGAGGGAGGAGGAGAGAGTGTAGGTAGATGCTACGCAAGTCTACCGGCACTATGAACCTCTACGCAACTGAGGTGCACTCGGTGGACATCATCGAAACCGATGGTCGAACTGTCATGGTATTTTCTTTTCATTTACTAACTATGACCCATTCAGTCGACGCTGAGTTCCGACCTCAGTGGAAGAAAAGTAGATGCGAGTGGCTATGCACAGTATGAGATTCTAAATTACGAAACAGCAATTAGGAAGTCCTGTATATCTCATCTTAGTTAAAGTGTCCATGAAGGGAGAAACGTTTTAACGATGCAGAAGAGCACATATCAAATGGTTTTTCGTCTGGTTTATTCTGTGGTCTTCACTTGTCACCTCAGCACTGTTCAGAGAACATGTGTTATCTTAGTCAATGACGTTGAAGGTAAAAAGTGAAAACACTGCCGAGAATATTGCAATATTCAGGGATTCTATTTCTGCGTTGACGGTAACGGTAAAATGGCTAAAGACAGGATGCTTCTGTTGGTCGAGCTGAAACATCAAATGCAGCACCTTCGTCTGTTATTGGGCATTTTATGAAATCCAAACAGTCTGGTTGTAGTAAATGAGAGAGTTGTATTAAAAGGTAAATAAAGAGAATTTGCATTGGGTCCTGTGCATGCTACGCCTATTACCAGCACAATTTGGCTTTTCTCTATCCTACTGACATTTGCTCTCGCAGAGACAGTTCTGTGGCATGTGATGACTAGGTCTGCCAGTGTTCAAACTACCTTTCGCCTTGCATAATATGGCCATGAGTAATCTGTCCCTAGGGCGTCACTCAATCTTCCCATCTATTCGCTTTCTGAATGAATCAGACGCGTAAACGTCTTATGCAAGTGAATGCACTGAGAGAGATTTCGATGGACAGTGCTGTGTAACTCGAAATGTTCTGTGTTTGTGGCCCTTAAATTACGTATGCAAAATATGTGCTCGTGTTCAACTCGTGTAATGTTCAATGAAATATTCTTCTACGCTGCCAACTTACACAACGGACGGAAATTGGTCTTGTCTGTTCAACTCGTAAATTCTATGAACAGCTAAGCGATCATACTTTGAAACTATACGCGGTGTGCTTGCATAAGGTGCTTCAAGGAATAACACTACTTCATTTCCAGCGATGAAACCCGCAGACATACTCTGTGCGCAATATTACAGCATGCTTCCTAATGTTATACGGACCTTAGTAACATTCGTGTTTTATCACTTGAACGAGGTGAGAGCGCAGATCGCTGAATGTAAAAGTGCGATGTAGGGGCGTGTAAAAGACAGGAATTGGACAAGACGATAGGCAATCTTAACCATCATCCTAATTTTGACCCTTGCTCTTACGTCTCTCCTAACTCGAATCTAAAGTTCTAAGGTAAGACATGCAATTAGTTATTTTCTTAAGTTTGGCCAGTAAGGTAGAGTCGACATAATATACCTGCCGTAAATTAAACAAGCAGGTAGGATGTACTAGAAAAACCGTTGCACTCGCATATTTGATCGATACCCAAGTGTGATGGGTAAAAAGGCCGAGAAAATACAGAAATACGCCGAGCACTAGTTAACGAAAAACGTTTTTTGATTCAGTCAGTATGGTTTACAGTCTCACTATCAAGGTGGTCGCGTCACTGTTTAGCTCAGATAGGCCAACATTTCCTATGTAAAAACGGCAAATTTCGAGGCGCTGGCACGAACACTTTAGAAATGTCATCGATAGCTTACAACAGTTGACGTCGTCGTCTACAAAATTTACCGCTTGGTAGAGTATTTGCTACTTCCTCTACATATGTGGTAACAAAATACATGAAGAATAAAGAAAATTTCGGTTTCAAATATATTTCCCCTGCAGTTACATGTGTGGCCAGGGTTTTCGAACCACAAGTTGTCAGCTTATTGTACAAGAAAGTCGAGTAATTTTGCATGCTTGTATGAACACGACATTTAGGTCTATTCAATTTTGTAATGTATATCAACCGTGTTATCCACTTTATGAGGAGCTCTATAAAGGTGCTTAGGCAATGGTGTGCGAGTGGCCGATCTTTAAAACCTCTCAATAACAAATATCTTTAGAGCTAAAATATATCTTTAATTCAAGGATAACATGTAAAAAAGACGCAAAGAACATGTTCGTGCGTATTTTCTACAAAGTATATTTAAATTTATAGAGGTGTCGAAATTCAATGTCAAAAACTCCATGAGTTTTATGTAGTTATTTTCTACGAAATGAAGAGAAGGCAAGCAAACGATATGTCGTTCGTTCGAAAACCGGTATCCTGATATGACCGAAATATTTTTGTCGTATTTCAAATGATATCTTTCGCGATTTTTTGGCCAATTCAAAAGAGCCGTACCGAGAGTTGGTCAGTTGATGAGACATAAACCTAGCATTGTTTCCAATAAATAATGCAGAATTCGAACAAAATGTTGTTAGCAAGTTTGCTGCCAGGATGACGTCTAATCTGCACAGAAAAATTGTACAGCGCGAAATTGGGCGGCTAGGAAACGTATGAAATTGGGGTGTAGTTCTCCGCGTTCAATTGTACTGTGTTTTCATAACTTACTTACCGCGTACCTTTGGTGCTCTCAGGCAAAGGGACGATAAAAGATCGACTAGCCCTTCTTTCTATGGCTTCTTCATAAACAAGACACAAGACACAACAATGAGCATGTAGGTGAGTGGACTAAACTGCGACAAATAAACGGGAATGACGCGTTCATGGCTTCCAAAGTACAGGATGTAATATCTTGTAAACATTCACTACTTCCCTATCTTTAAAATGCAAGGTTAAAGATTACAAATGTGTACTTCAGCTAAATGACATCTTTTGAAAAAGGTCTTAGCTTGTAAGGAAGGGGTTATAACTCTTTTACACTACCCAAAGAAGCGTCGACGTAGTCGACGTTGTCTGGTGCTTGACTTCCGAAAAACTCTAGGCCATGCTTACTGCTCAATGCCCATTATTTACGAGTTGCAGATATGCATGAAATATTTGTCCTACGACTTTGTAAAGGGATGCTCGTGAAAGCCATTTCATCTAAAATATTTTACAGAGAAAGCTTTAGAATATCCTCCAGTTTAGCAAAAAGTTCAAACCCCATGCTGCACCGAGAATGAAACACTTTGGCAGTTCATAGACGCATATTTTGTAAGCAATGGACAAGTACATTGCCAAAAAGGCTATACAACTTGTGCAGACGCTGTGATCGTTATAACATACGTTACAATTCACCGTGGGGGCTCATGGCAAACATAGGCACGTCCTAAAATTGGTTTTTTGACATCTCAAAACACAGATGTGTGGTCTCCGAGGGAAATGAGGCGTTGCAGGCCACATTCGTTTGCAGCTTATTCCCGCCTCCCTTGCGCGTCAGGGCTTTATCGGGATGCTGCAGCACAAATCAAAAGAATTTCGAAAATCCATCAGCTTACAAAGAGTTGGTGCAGAAAAGCATGACCCACTAGCGTAATTTCACACAAACACAAAGAAATGTTATAAACATCCTGGTTCTTGTAATGTTGAAGGATATACTGGGACAAATTCTAACTATTGGCCCTTATGTGACGAGTTTCTTACGATTACGCGTTTTTAACGTCTCCTGCGAACATCCATGATGTAAACCTTATGATTTCCATGTGGGGAAAGAATTATTCGGACGGTCTGGCATTTCACCTTTCTTACATACAGAATCTGCCGTCGAAATGATTCCAGTTCTGGGTCAAAAATTAAGGGTCACAGCTTTAAATAGAACGAAACAACTGAAGTTCAAAGTACGGGCGGCACGCCTTGCGTCGTTTTCGCTTGCCTCGTCGCTCTCATCCCTTGAAG